TATATTTTATATTTGCAATATTTAACAATGTTATATTTTAACAAAAAGCTGAATCTGAAAAAGATATTTTTAATTTTATAATTTTTAATTTTTCAATATTTTCAATATGATATTATATGATATAATATTTGTATATGCATATTATATATTTAATATCATTCATTGTTATGTATGATATGAACCAGATACTCTATGATGATGTTGCAATAGGACAATGCCGCTTTTGAGAGAAGTATGTACTTACTTAGAATAACATCATGAATTATACATTTATTATAAGACATTTGATTTGAATGCGATTATAATCGAGAAAATTGAAACAATGCTTTCCAATCATATTCTCAGCAACAATCAATATAGATTTAATAATATTAATAATAAAAATCCGCGAATTAAATTTTCTGAGCTCAAGAGTGTAACAATTAGAAACTTGATTTGAAAATATATATAAAGTTAAAATATTATATAATATATAAAGCTAAAGTTATCATGTTTAAATAATCAATAAACTAATAAATAACAAATAAATCTAAAATTATTTTATTAAGATAAAAATGCTCAAATCCTTTGTTCTGATACATCTAATGTCAAGAGAAATAATCTTTCATGCGGATGTCAAATCAAGTACAGTTGTACTGAACATTGTAGCTCGAATTACGTAGATATTTACTATCAGAGCACAGTTAGATCACGACAGACTCTCAAGAGTGAATTTTAATCAAATTGATTATAAAAATTCGATAATCGTCCTAACATCAAAGATATGTGGTAAAATACGATATAACATAGATATATTATTGTAATTTGTCGTTTCAAAATCAAGGATCTATCTTGATCGAAACGACAATTTATTTTTTTCCGAGATTATATTTTGAGATTGATAAATTGAGTGACTTTGAACACTGAGAATAATTCGATTAAACTTGTAGCTGCGAGAAAATGGTATCTAAATATACAATAATATGATTGTAATCAAAGATGTGGAATGTAGAGAATCGAAACTTTCTTCTCTAAGTATCTATAAAGTTTATTTTCCTGGAATTGTAGATGGACGTGTATTTACTCTGAAATTAATAGTTCGCTACAAATTGAATAACTTAAAAGATAAAAAACTTTTGCAAAAAATAATCAAATAAATTTATATAAATGATAATATAAATATCTCTTATTAAAAATTAAAATATTATAAAAATTGATAAAAATTATGATAAATAAGATTCTAATAAATATATCTATACACTTTTTTCTTATATATTGTATTTGTATTCAGCCAGATATAAGACACGTGTATTTATATCTAGTCTAGATATAAGACAAGATTTATATCAAGATGAAACGGATTCTATATAAAATTATTAAGAAAATTATAGCCTCTATGATTGATTTTTCTTAATTAATCTATTAAAATTTCAAAGAAAATTGAAATTGTTGTTATTTGATTTAAAAATTTCAAAATTTACTATATATATTTCTATTTGACTTATATATGTTATTTATCAGATTTAAACATTTATATTATATATATATATATATTATATATATATATAT